TCGACGCCATCTTCTTTCTATCAGTCACCATTACGACTAGCGACTGACGAAGACGTTGATTTTCGGCCAGAACGGCTTCGATATTTCCCTGTTCTGCCATTTTCAAGCCAGAAAAGATTGTAAGTTTCGACGAATTGCGGTGTTCGTTCACTACACTACCAAGTCAAGAATATTACAGATTGTCTTATTTTTTGGCAACCTTCCCTTTATATCTCTATCACAGGGAAATTCCCTGCAAGACAACAGAGCGTGCATATTATCATAGGGGTAAAACCCGGGGGTTCGGGTTAGCCCCGGTCGGCGGGGACAAGACGCAAGCTTTATTTTCAACATACTGACAGTTCAGGTACTTTTCAAATGCTTCAAGTCAAACAGAGCATCCATTAAGTTAAATTTTATTTTTGTTCTACCGAAAATTTCTAAATGCCTCCTGATCTCATTTATTTATCAAATCTTTTAGTTGCAAAACTGCAGGCGGAAAGTTTCGTGCCGATCGAACAAAGCGTCGTGTTTACATATCTCAATTTTCGTTTCTTTCTTCACTAATATGGGGGTAGATCGTTGGTGTTATAATTATGAGAGGTTCTTATCACTGTAATAGAAAAAAAATGGTGGTAGGAAATAGAAGTTACACTTCACTCTTTAGTTGGCCCGCTGAATCATCGCTGATACTGAAGTAATATTAAGAAACGATTCTTCTGACCATATTTAGCGATATACGTATTTCAAATTCTCCGGAATCTTCCTGCCACTTATCATTTCGAAGATCACGATCGAGATGCCGCAAAAATCGCAAATATTGCTGAATCTCATATTCCAGAAAATGTGCTTCATCTGGTTGGCTTCAGTTGAAAGGTTTCGAAAATGAAAAAATAAAAAAATAAAAAAATAAATGTATGTATCAAGGGAGAATTATGGGACGTATTTGGCACTACAGAATCAGACTAAAATAACATCCAATCAAATTATGTATGATATGCACGTGACCGTGATTAAGATCTAAAAATAGATTTCCGGACATTCAGTCTGCCTAGCTGTGGATTCTCTAAGTATAATTCTCTCTTATCTTTGGCAACAACGACGCGTTTGTCTACAACCCATGGGCTGAGGGATTTTTATATGAAACTAAACAGGAGTTGTGATGCAATTATAAACTTCCGAAGCAGCTTATAACACGACACCCCGGTTCCCCCTTCCCCCCTCTCCCTCTGACTTGTTCATGCAACATCCCAGTAATTCTTATTTCCAAGTTCCCGTCATTTATTAAATTAAGCTCAGGATTAAGCTACTGTAAGTTCTCCAAAGAAAGACATCAGTAAAGTCCGCGGGAAACCTTAGGTGCAAAGTGAAAATAACCCTCAAATTCCACAATTCAGTAATCTTTAGACAAGTGCAATCCCCAATATTTCACTTCCCTGTACTATATACAGGGTCTGTACCAGCCCAGGCGTAGCGAAGAAGAGTCTCCTCTCCCCTCTGGGTTCACCCAGCTCTTTCCATGATCCAATAAGCGACAGTTCAGAGACTGGACTACCGCTGTTTGGGAAACGAGCCCGCGTCCTCGAGAATTCCACGCGCAGTGTAAATGGAGCCTGGGTAATGGTATACAGTAGTTCATAATTCGTTAGCATGTCAAACGTCAGCCATCGTATCGGCTAGGTTTCACGCGAGCTTATGCAGACATTATTAAGACAATGTTTTTAAAAAACACTGTTTATCCCGGATAGGGTTGCAACGGGACCTTGATCCAAAGTTTCGGAGAAAAGTGCAAGATTGCAGCAAACAGTGTCTATGCTGCAGGCGTCGGTGATAGAAACAAAAACATCCATTCTTTACCGGAACCGCGTTCACTGTTTTTAAACCCAGCTTCACAAAGCTTGTTATATAAATTATGTTTGCGTCGCTTGATATGCGGAAACTTTGAACAAAACGAATTTAGCTTCCAGGCTCAGTTCAGTCAGGCTGTAATAGTCGAGACTCGCACAATACCTAAACGGAAGGGTTTCTCCAAATAGCTTCAAGACGCTATGCATATGAAACCAAAATTTGAAAGGTAATAAAATTTCCCCAGCTTGGAAGACACCTGGAGTTCCTAGTAGTCATGGAACTGTTTGTGAAAGCTGACTTCCAGAAATGCTTTTCAATGTTTTAGCGCAATCCATGCAGGAAACCGAAAGTTTATGACGAATTTTGCACCAAAATAGGTACACGTCCGGTGCATGCAGACAGCACGTGTCAGCTTGAATGGGAGACGCGAGGTCAGACATGTGTAATCACCTGATTTTCAGCTGCAACCCTGTGACTCCCACTTTTGGCCCCCATAGGAACACAAAGATCCGGCGGGAAAGGAAGATACCCCGCGAAATTGCATGTGAACCTAAAGCTAACCTGCGATCATACCCTCCCTCCCTCCTTAAAAAAAAAAAAAGCCAGATCGCGAAACTCGTGATAAGCAGAAACATCCCGCTGGGTCGAACCTTATTTGTGATGTGTTTTTATTTTCAAAAAATGTTTTTTTCTATCGAATCCTTCTGTGACTAACGTTTTAAATTTCTAGTTTGTCTAAGAGAAGGTGATGACCGCAAAGTGCACCAGCAATGCAGTTTTACTCTACATTCGTTGAATTGTACAACTGAGACATTTGCACATCTGGTCAGCGGCATCTGGATTAGTCAACCTTTTTGAAATTAAATTAATGACCAAATTTTTTCATTCGAATGGTCGTACTTTGTTTGTATGTGTTTCGATCTTTTTCTATCATGCTTATCCATGTTCTACTGAGAAAAGCGCAACAGTTTCAATAATTGCAACACGCAAATTCTTATCAATGGTTTTAATGTAGTTAAAAAATAGATTCCATGTTAACAACAACACATGTAGCTAAAAATAACTTACAAAAACAAAGAGAGTGCTGGCTGCCCTAAAAAACCATAAGAGGCTAGAAAAAAAGAGCAGCCTTCTACATTTACATCTACATTATGGGGGTCTTGCAAAGGGAGGCATGCTCCCATCACTGCAAGACATTAAATAAAAAAA